TACTCCTTCTTTACTGACTATATGGCCCAGATAATTGACTTTTACCTTGAAATAGCTGGCACTTCTTGGGGTTTAACATCAATTGGACAGCTTTAAGTCGATCAAAAAACGTTTTCTAAATTCTTCAGATGGTCTTCAAATGTCTCCTCCAAGACAATTAGTGTAGTAATATAAAAAAAGTAGTATACAAAAATAGTAAACATGTTTGTACGTATTTTTGAAATTGGATAAGAACGTCGATTGCCTATAACCTATAACATCAACAAAATCCTTAGACCATTTTATTTTTCGTCTAGTTTAGTAAATAGGCAAATACTTACTTGACCCAGGTTGCTGTACACCACACATTTCCATATTGTTTCAGTTCTACTTTTTATTACTTTTCTTTCTTCCATTCTTGAATTAATTACCAAAAAATGTTTAGAATAAACTATAACGCTGTAAGCAAACGCATTCAACTAAAAACCAGTTTTGTAGGTCACTAAATCAGAGTTAGTGTACATTTTTTATAGCGTCTCAAAAAAACCTCATAAGTCGACTTAGTGTTTCAGCTCTAGAAAATATATGACAATGAAATGTAACAAATAATTAAGTCCCTCTTAATGCTTTTAAGATGATGATAAAAAACCACAAAATGTAAATAACCTGATCATCAATAATACAACGATAGAAAGAGTAAAACATATAAATATTTAGGAACGTGACTAACCGAAGATGGAGATCACAAGTAAAGGAGATCAGATCTAGAATAGAAATGGCAAGAAACACGTTCATAAAATGAAGAAATTACTTTGCAACCGTAACCTTATTTAGAGATTCGCACAAGAATGCTACGTTTGTTACGTCTTCTCTACTTTTACTATATGGCATGGAAGCGTGGACAATAAAGCAGTCTGAAATCAAAATATTAAACTCCTTTGAGATGTGGTGCTACAGGAGAATGCATAAAATATCGTGGATTGAAAAAGTAACTAATATAGAGGTGTTACAAAGAATGAAGAAAGAATGTGAAGTCATAAAAACTTTTAAATTAGAAACATTCAATATCTGGACATTTTAAATGAGGGTGAGAAGTACGTATTACTGTAGGTTGATTATGCAAGGGAAGATACAAGGAAGAGAAACCCAGGACGACGCAAAATGTCCTGGCTAAGAAATTTGAGAGAGTGGTTCGGCTGCAGCCTCATTAGAATTGTTCAGAAATCCGGCCAACAAAGTTAAAATAGCGATGATGATTTCCAACCTCCGCCAGAGAAGGAACCCCGAGAAGAAGAATGCTATTTGGTTGTACAAATAGTAAAAAAATGACTCAATGCTATTTATCAATGAAATTTACCATAAAAATAAACCATTCTAACTTAGTGTGTTTTGTCATATAAAAGAGCATCAAAAACTGTATGATTTAATGCAATAAATCCATTTTCACCGATTTTTCACTTGTGCGTTTTGGTTGTAACCCACGATATATAACTTTTATAAAGGTTTTTTTTTTAAATAAAGTATATCCAGTAAACATATACAGTGTGTGGAAACCACTTATTAAATAAAATTGTTTGTGGACTTTATTTTACAAAATAAAAAAAGCACTGGGACCCCTCAAAACTTTTTAAATTCAAATGTGTTCTTTTTAAACGTAAATAGCTATATACTTTTGGTTGAACTATTATTATAGTGTGATTTTATAGAGTATTTTACGATTTTAGGCTTCCTATAATTACTAGCTGCATTACTTTTGGTATTTGACAAAGAAAGTACTACGCCCTTTGAAAAAAGAAATCCAAATTTCGTATATGGAGCATCTCAGGCTATCATAGCGGTTTCTCTATTGGTTCTTTGTTTCATAGGTAAGTTATATTCATATGCTATTACCAGGTATACATGAGTGAGGCCACTAAATACTTATGTGGGTAAAAACCCTTTAAATGTGGTAGTTTTTAAACAGATTTACTTCATGGCAACTTAAAATTAAATATCAAATGAAATAAACATTGGTTCTATGTACAAACTGAGATATAGTTGGAATATTTTTAAGATACTGTTTTTAATGTATATTTTTATGTAGTAATACTGAATATTTTAGAGATATTTAAGTTTTTAATGTTTATGTTCTTTTTAGTGACTGTTGGCTGTCTGATACTTCACCAACGATATCGTAGACGATTTACTCGATACATGGATCTTTCGCATGACATTGCCTCAGATCAGGAACAATCACAATCTACTCCGGAAGCCGAAACTACAGCAGACACTGCTGCTTTAAGTCCAAACCCAAGTACCAGTTCAGATAGCGGCGTAGGTATGTTACACTTCATCTTATTTACATTCTTCTTCTTCTCGTGCCACTCCTAGCGAGATTGGAAATCATCATGGCCACTGCGACTTTTTAGCAGCGCGCCTAAAAAGTTCAATCGAACTACACCAACCATTCACGTAGATTACGAAGCCACGATATTTTTCTTCTTTCCCCACACTTCTTTTGCCCTGCATGATGTTTCTTAAAGTTCGTACTTTTCACCTCTCAACAATGTTCCCCAAGTATTCCATCTTTTCTAGTTTTATCTCATTTAGAATTTCGCTTATTTACATACACGTCAATATCTACGTCGAGATCGAAGTTGACATAGTGCCAAAGTGTAAAAAAAATCCTGACTCCCATTTTAAATCAAATAGATCACATAATTATTGTAAAAGTATTACCATCTCTTTACAAACGACTATTTAAATTCTTACGTGACATTTTTGAAATAAAAAACACTAATTTTGTTCTAAAAAGAACAGATTTTATTTAATAAGTAAAATATGAAACAAGAGGTATTCACTTTAAATTTCAAAATAATAAAGTACAAAATGTGTCAAACACCGCAACTGTCAAATAAGTGTTGCCAATTTATGCCAAAATTTCACCTTCGTTCGATTACAGTTACAGTGTGTTCCGAACAAATGTTCTTCATAGAACCGTTTTTATAATGCATTTGATACAAATTAAATGAAACATATTATTGTGTATTTCTTTAAGTTAACATTAATAGAGATTTTTGAATATTATTCTACGGCGTATATAATAAAATATGTCTTTGTGGCTGTAATGCCAGTGTACTTGGCAAAGTGATTCTAAAAAAGAACACACCTACCGCCTAAATATTTCGTGTTGGTATCATGTGACGTCACGGGCTATGACGCCGATGACGTGCATCGGTATGTAAATTAGATTAAGTGTATGTTTTGTTGATATAATACTCTCAACTTTATGACATTGCCATAGTATGCTTGGCATTTTTGGTTGTATAGGATATTTTTAATCAGAAACTACTAATCTTCTTCCAATTCTTCTGTTTTAGCATTAAAAGTAGTATCTAATATTTTTCTGCGGTTTTAAATAGTTATTATTACAGACTTCTTGTTTCCTTCGTTTTAGTACTTCAGCATTCTTATTTCTCTCTGTCAATGAAATTCTTAATATTCTGCGATATATTCAGAGTTCAAACGTCTTTTGTCATCTTCAAATCGTTCTTCTTCAGCGTCCATGGGTCGACCACATAGTCTAATGCTGAGAAAAAAATTTGGTAATTATTTAGTAAGACAGAACGCCTCAAATATGGTAAAATAAAATGTAAAAATAATATAATTAATTGATGGATTTCGACCGTTACTTGATGGAAATTCATTTTATGTAACAATAAAACGCTGAAAACTTTGTTTTCAAACTTCCACAAAATTTTATTTTAAATATTATCACTACAGCTGTTTCGGCTGATTGCCTTTCTCAAGTGATCTATTTTTGGCTTGGGTTTACAAATTTATAGTCTCTAATGAAATAGGTTGAGGAGGGGAGAACTGTTTGTCTCAAGTTGGTCATTCAGAATTATATCTGTGTTTTTTAATTTGTTGATTTTCTATAGATTCTAACAAAGATAGCTTAAGGCCTTTATTTGAATGTGAAGAATTTTAAATTTGTCATTAAAAGAATGATTATGATCTAGAAGGTGAAGTGCGTATGTCGAATCTGTTTTTCTATTCTTGAAAGCCCTTTTATGTTCTGCTATTCGTTTATCAAAGTTTCTACCAGTTTGACCGATGTAAGTTTTTTGGGCAGTCGCCACATTGAAGTTTGTACACACCACTATTTAAGTGTTTTTTATTTTTGGCTCTTGTTATTTTTAATATATTTGCCTAGGTTGTTATTTGTTCGGAAAGCTGGTGTTATTCCTTTCTTTTTTATGTGTTTGGCAATTTTTGTTGTTATTTTGCATGTATATGTAATCGAGCAGAAGGTACTGGGTTTTTTTCTCTGGTGGTGGAAATACTAATTTCAGGGCTTTCTTGTGTAGTTTTTTGATTTAACATTTTATTAATTGTTTGTTCGTTGTATCCGTTGTTTACTGCTTTAATTATATTTAATTCTGTCTCAAAGTTGTATTTTGACATCGGAATTTCTGTTAATCTATGTAACATACTATGATAAGCTGCCAGTTTTATGTTGTGTTGGATGGGATGACGAATTGTGTATAGTCGTGTCAGTATGGGTAGGTTTATGAAATATGGAGAAGTCATGTTTGTTTTGAAGTCTGCTAATTTTTAAATCTAAAAAATTTATGGATTGATTTTGTTTTGTTTGTATTGTAACTTCAATATGACTATGAAGTGACTTAATATATGACAAAAATTGGTCGAGTTGCCTGTTAGTTCCTGTGAAACATACCAGTACGTCGTCTACGTATCTCCACCAATATTAGTATTTCCACCATCAGAGAAAAAACCCAGTACCTTCTGCTCGATTACATATACAGGCAAAATAACAACATAAATTGCCAAGCACATAAAAAAGAAAGGAATAAACACCAGCTTTCCGAAACAAATAACAACCTACGCAAATGTATTAAAAATAACCAGAGCCAAATAAAAAAACACTTAAATAGTGAGTGTGTACAAACTACAATGTGGCGACTGCCCGCAAAAAACTTACATCGATCTGGTCAAACTGGTAGAGAAACTTTGATAAAACGAATAGCAGAACATAAAAGGGCTTTTCAAGAATAGAAAAACAGATTCGACATACGCAACTTCACCTTCTAGATCATAATTCATTCTTTTAATGACAAATTTAAAATTCTTCACATTCAAAAATAAAGGCCTTAAGCTATCTTTGTTAGAATCTAATGGAAATTAACAAATTAAAAAACACAGATATAATCTCTGAATGACCAACTTGAGACAAACAGTTCTCCCCTCCTCAACCTATTTCATTAGAGACTATAAATTTGTAAACCCAAGCCAAAAATAGATCACTTTGAGAAAGGCAATCAGCCGAAACAGCTGTAGTGATAATATTTAAAATAAATTTTGTGGAAGTTTGAAAAACAAACTGATTCAGTGTTTTATTGTTACAATAATATAAATTAAAAATTAAAATTTTTATTTTTCATAAGAAAACATCATTTTTGTATAACTGTGGCAAACACTGGTTAGAATTATTTTCTTGACCATAAGAAACAGTTGTCATTCCTGTCATTTCTTGTTTCAAATGGCGGATAATGGCGGTGGCTTTTAAAAATAAGACATTTTAAATGGAAATTATATAAAAAAGAACGGTTTCTAGTACCAAAAATGTTTTTGCATTAATATCGGTATTGTTTCTAATAGATATTTGATTATTTTAGGAAGCGTTAAGGCACAAAAGTGTTGCGGGTTGCCGACGATCGCTGAAGGTTGCTGTGAAAGTCAGGAGAGCCCAGTGGTAGACATTGAAGATCTTTTAGGAGACTTCGATAAAAAATCTAGTAGTACGGAAATTAAAGGATATCTTTCTGTGTTAAGTGAAGAAGGGTAAGTTAATATATAAATATTTATTAATTAATTTCTTACGCATAGTCCGAAATATACCAGAGTTATTTAAAAAAACTGGTTTGATTATGTGGGGGCTTAGGTTAGTTGTTAACAAAAAAGTTGTGAAATAAGTATTTCATTCCATTGACGTCCCATTTACTCATCATTCGTAATTAATTAATGAGATGATCAAAATGCTGTCCATCCACCATAATGATTATTTGCAGCCTTAGTTATTTCAATGAAACAGGTTTGATTTTATAAATCTTGCTCTTTAAGTAACGCTCATAAAAAGGTATCCAAGGTAATTAAATCATGGTTCTTGCTTCGATTCAATAAAACCTCTTCGTCCTATCGAAACCGTTGGCCTAGAAAACCGTGTTTTTTTTTAGTAGTAGTAGGTAGTAGTTAAAAAACCGCCGATTTTTCTGAGCACTTGTTATCATTTTAGATTATATCTGGCAAAGTGGAGGAAGGTCTATAGTGGCATCTATATAGAATAGGTATACAGATTGAACGAAATAAATTCGGAACATACGAAATATTATGTATTTCATTATAAAAATCCAATACTTCAGCGGGGCTGCTGGATTCTGAAATCATAAAAAATTGAAAGCTACACATAAATCTATGATTTTATTATGCTGTCAAACCAGTTAATCGCTTCCTTAGACAATCCCTTCTTGTAAGCGTGTTGCCAACCTCATACATTTAGATGTTTCTTAAATAAGGTGTTATGCCATAAAATATTTACAAGAAAAAAAGAAAATAACTACAACCATTAAGTTTATTTTTGTTATTAGTCTGTTGTAGTAGATTGGTAAATACAATGAAAAATATAGGCAAATATCCGATTTATTTAAAGATACGAAGAAGATATAACTCTTAAAAAGATCCGCAAATCGGAAAATTACACGGCGATTGGCAACATTGTTATGCAAACAACATTGTTACGAGACAGATAGTTGAACGATATTTTATACAATGTCTAAACCCAGGTATGGATTTATTTTTGTCCAAGTTTTATATTGGCCCACTATTTCAAACGCAGTTCAAACAGACATATATTAAATTGTATGATCCGTTTTAATTCGTTCAATCTGTATATATTATAAAATAATTTTAGATATGTTTTTCCGATAAAATTTTGTGGAAAACAGAATGGAGAAACAATACGATCCTCATACACAACTGGTCATAGGTTTTAATCCAAAGGTTACTGGTATGTGTTTAACCCTTAAATGCCCAATCGGGGTCACTATGGGACCCCAGACATACATTTTTGGCTATAATATCTTTATTTGAAACTTTTGGCAACCGCGCAATCAGGTATTTGTGTGGACGTGTCTCCTACGTTTTCTGTTAGTATACCACGAACATTCGTGAGGTGCAGTGGTCTGTAAGAGAGATTTAGATAAGTGGGGTCTCGCTGTGACCCGATTGGGCATTTAGAGGCACCAGAATATTTTTATTATTTTTAACATTTTTCGTCCAGTTTACATTGAAAAATGGACCGTAAGAGAATGAAAATGACAATAAGCGACCAAGAACATGAAAAAATTATCCGAAATATAGAAGAAGGGATATCAGACTCCGATTTCGACTATGAGATTACCGACGAATCAGATAGCGAAGAGCAAGATGTTTTTGAGGAAAATGTTTCGGAACTGAGGACAATTTAGAAGTCAACAGTGACGAGGAATCAGATGCAGAACCTACGCGAAGTGGACGATAATATTAGTGAGGTTAGTGGTCCAACATATACATCCAAATCTGGAATGCAGGGAATAGCCTACCTTTCGTGAGATCCAAGAGGCAACAAAAAAATATTATAAATGTACATCCAGGCTTAACAAACTATAGTAAAAATTCAACACGTTTTTAGACTATTTCAATTTATTTTTGACCGAAGAGATGAAGAATGTCATATGCCTTCATACTAATGAAGAAGCTGTTAGGCGTTATCAAGAGTGGAACGAAAAACATTCGAATAACAAAAAAGAGTGGACGGTACTTACCAACAATGAACTGGATAGCTTTTTAGGAGCACTTATCAAAGCTGGTGCTTTAAGGTGTGGGAAAGAATCGACACGAGAGATATGGTCTACAGACACCTCAATACGCCGGTCATTTTTTACAGCCGCATTAGCTAGGAACGATTTGAAGAATTATCGAGTTTCTTGAGGTTTGATGACAAAGTGACCAGGGTGGAGCGGAAGGAACAGGATAAGTTAGCGGCGATACGAGTAATTTGGGACATGTTCGTGTGACAAAGCCTTTGAACCATACGAACATATAACCGTTGACGAACAGTTAGTGAGTTTTAGAGGAAAGTGTCCTTTTAGACAATATATAAAATCAAAACCTTGCCGCTATGGGATAAAAATTTGGGCTGCCGCGGATGTTTAAAACATCTTATTTATCAAAACTTCAGGTGTACCTCGGAAAAACTACCAGGTGGTAGAATAGAGAAAAATCAGGGATTTCGTGTTGTGAAAGATCTGGTGGAACCATATCATGGCAGTTGGAGAGGAATTACAACTGACAACTTTTTACCAGTGTTCCTCTTGCTCAATATCTTTTATCTAAAAACCTTACTTTACTTGGGACCGTCCGCAAAAATAAACCTGATACACCACCACAAACTAAGTTGACAAAAAGACCTGCGGAGTCGTCAATATTCTGCTTTTACTAAAGAATTAGCTATGGTTCGTACATACCTAAAATACACAGGATGGTACATCTTCTTTCAAGTCAACACGATAGTGATATAATTTGTCAAGACTCTCAAAACAAACCCTTGATGATTTTAGACTATAATAATACCAAGGGTGGTGTTTGATAATGCCGACAAACTGATTAGGGAATATTCCTGTAAAAGAAGAACTGCCTCGTTGGCCATTCAGGCTCTTTATGAATATTATAGACATATGTGCACTAAATGCCTATATTTTATACGTTGAAAAAAATCCTGATTGAAGAAAAATAATTTTTCACGAAGACGTATTTTCCTGTTACAATTAGGGGTTGAGCTTGCTCGAAACAACATGGAAAAAAGAGCGAAATATATAAAACATAAAGCCTATGTAAAATCTGCTCTAAAAGATTGTGGCATACCAATGGTAATACCCAACTACCGAAGTTGCAACTCAATCCGTCCATTCAGCTAAGAAACGTGCTCGTTTGTTTACAGTGTCCGCGAAACTGTAACAGAAAAGTGAATACGTTTGCTCTTTTGCAAAAATTTATATGCCAGGTGCACAGAAAAGAAGAAAAAACTATTGTATGTAAAAATTGCAACTAAAAGTTATATGCTTATATTATTTAATTTTAATTTTGTTCGAATTGAAAAGAATTTGTTTTCTAGAAAAGCCGTTAATTTTGTATGAAAATAAAATAAAAATTATTCAAATATGCTTAAAATTATTTTTAACCGTGTTTTCCTTTTAGTCAGTGCTAAATGACGTTACTAAATTGAAAATTTTAGTGGGGTCCTAGGAGACCCACATGGGCATTTATGGTTATTTTCATATCACGGGCATTTAAGGGTTAATTAAATACTGATAGTAGGTATAGTATACGGTTCTGAGCCCATCCCTAAATCGCAACTCGGATCGTAAATGCCAAAGGGTGTTTGAATGGACTATGTTTCGTGCTCATCGGAACATGTCAAAAGGGCATTACGTCATATATTCGTTTCTATTGGTCCGATCGTGGCGTATGAGCGCTCGTTGGAAAGGGGAGGGGGTAAACGAGTACGTTGGGACAAAAAACAAAGATTGGATAGAATTCATATCGATACTGAACATGTTCTGTGTCAAATAGCTCATAAATACCAACTTTTGGAGCACATGTCCTGCGTCGACTGTCACATAAATGTCACGTCCTGCATTGAATGTCACGTCCTGCTTCGAATGTCACGTCATTCAGATTGTATTCGCTTCGTGCGTGACCATGGTAGGGGTACATTGAAACGATGCCAGCGTGCGTAGCGGCGAAATATGACAAAATTGGAATATTGGACAAAATATTTTTACGCATAAATTTTATCAAAAATGTGTGCAAATACATGTTGCGTATTTAATTGTGCTAATATTAGCAAAAATAGTGAGTGTAGTTGCAGTGTAGTTGCAGAGTTGCAGTGAGTGTAATAGCAAAAAAGATGGATTCGTGCTATTAATATGAAAAAGTAAATATAACATAATTTCATTTTTATTGCAATTGAAATAGAAAAAATTTAAATAATTTACCTTGAATGATATTTCATAAGTCTTCAAGCTAACTGCAGATGACTTTAGCTTTATATCATAACTTTTTACTATTATTGTTTTTAATTATATGCTCTTTTGATGTGAAAAACTTGATTTGCCAGTACTAGATTTTTCCCTTTCTTCTCCGTTTGGAGTTGAAAAGATATATTATGATGAATTTGAGAAACCCAGTTTGTAATACTACATTTATTTTGTACATAAACAGAAAAAATATAGTTAAAAAACTAATTTATTAATAATTGTCAATTTCGCATGTATTTAACAATGTCAAACATATGTCATATGTTTAACCTGAAACTTTTGATTCCAAAATTGTCAGATGAAGGCGGTAGATATTGCGTCAGTCACGCACGGAGCGAATATTATGCCGTTTAAAAGATGTCAAAATAATGTTAACATTGAAAAGTAGATGATGCAAACAGTATAGAAAATATGTACCAAATTATCATACATATTTGAAAATATTATTATTAAACTATTAAGTTATTGAATATAGCAGATAACTAATAATTTTTAAATTCATTTTTTTTTTCAATGATGTTATGTTTGCCGTGGTTTTTCTTTCAACCAAACAAAAACTTTTATTTCGACGTTCGATTACCTGTATGCCTGACTTCGTAGTATAAATAAATTTAATATCGAATAATATATTTAACATTATACTATTACCAAATTGAGTTAAAACGTTCATTGCCTTCTCATTTCAAGTTATTGATAGGTATAATAGTTTTAATCGGATTTAAATAGTTATTTTTGTTTTAGAATGAGTCCAACTGCGGACGGTCTATGTCCTACGAGATATGGTTGTGCAGGACCAACAAGGGAAATGTGCCAGGGAGTTGTAAGACAGTATCAACAGCAAATAGACGACGATCTCGAACTTATCGAAGAGGAACCCGAATCTCATGAACCACAGATCTTAAGACATACGGTTTTGTTGATTTTGTTATTGTGTTCAATGTTCGTGGTAAGTAGAAGTACACAGTTTTCATTATTTATTATATTTTAAATGATGAGAAAGTGATGTTGATTTTGTCTACAAGCTTTATATTTGATTAAATTTGTATAATTAGAATTATATTATATTATAGAGTAAGTAGTCAAGTAAAAGCTATAGAAAAATTGCATTCAACCGCCCTCACAAAACGGCCCCGGTTGAACTCAACCGCCCTCACAAAACATGAAAACGAAATTAAACATAAATTTGATTTTGACAGTAAGTAATTTATTTAATGCTAAATACCCCAATCGCGAACCAATTACTCAATCAAAAGTAATAAAAATTGAAGAAAAAAAATTGAGAAACGGGCCATGTTAAAGATCTTCCCAGAAGTGGTAGAAAATTAATATCTGAAGCCAAGAAACTGGACATTGTACTGGCGTTTCAAGAAAATTCCCATACAAGTTCCACGCAGGTCGCACTACATAATAATGACCACCGATTAACTATTGTAAGAGTGTTAAAAAAGGAGAAGTGTCATCCATACAAAGTACATCTGGTCCAGAAGCTATTTGAAGATGACTTTGATAGAAGAATCGAATTTTGCGAAACCGTTATGGAAAAATGTAACAGAGATCAGGTTTTGATTCAAAAATACTTTTTTTCTGATGAAGCATCTTTTATGCTGAACGGTCACGTAAATCGCCAGACATATCAATACTGGACAAGTGAAAATCGACATTGGATGGAAAAGAATAGGACACAATATCCCGAGAAGATGAATGTTTGGGCCGGCATTATAAATAATCAAATTGTAGGACCATATATTTTTAAGGAAACTTAACTGCTTCTCGTTATCTAGAATTTCTTGAGCATTATATGTTGGCACAGCTGAATCAGCTATTTCCAAATAGAAATTATTTGTGGTACCAACATGATGGGGCTCCTGCACACTACGGCGTTGAGGTACGAAATTACCTAAATAACGTTTTCCCAGGTAGGTGGATAGGTAGAAGGGGGCCATCGAATGGCCACCAAGGTCTCCAGATTTGACTCCGTTAGACTTTTGTTTGTGGGTATATTTAAAGAGCAGAGTGTATCAAAATCGACCGAATAATGTAGAAGAGTTAAAGGAGCGCACCAGAACGGAAATTGCACAAAGAACACTGAAGTCATCGAACACGTTAGGAAAGAATTTATTGTCTATCTATCACATTGTATTATTGCGGAAGGTCGTCAATTTGAACATTTGTTGTAATTTAATTGTATTTAAGTAAACATTTATTGTAAGTTAATTGTATTAATAAACCAACAGTTTTGGTTAACCCTGTGGAAATAAATATTCAAATAATTATATCGTTGCAAACACGATAAGAGACGATAAGACGAAAGAGACCTTTCAAATGAGCTGTCGCGTGACCTCGGTTTGTATTTAAAAAAATCGTTCATTACGCCGACACCAATGACGTAATGTCCAACACACACACAACATATATATATATATATAATATATATATATATATATATATATATATATAAGTATATATATATATAATGTCCAAAAAATGACAATGTGATATGTAGTGTGTTTTTAACTGTTTTGTTTCTTAATGTTCAATGTTTTTAATATTTGTATTGTACTATCACACTGGAGGAAAATAACAAAAATGCACTTGTATTGTGTGAGTTTTCAAGCCACCATATAACACATACAACTTATTTTTTTGCTATAAAAAAATTTCAAAAAAGTTTTCAACATGGAACTTTCAAATACCACTTTTTGCCTGCAACCTACACACAAGTAAGTGTTTCACTACATCTTATGTAAAATACACAATTTACACCATTTTGTAACATATTGTAGCATTCGTCTGAAGATGTTAAAGAAATTTAACGAAATATAGCGAAGTCGTTGAAAAGAGCACACTTTGGCTTTCATTATTCAGCTGCTAACCCAATTAACCTTACCATTATACTAATATATAATATATATATATATATAATATATATATAATATATATATATAATATATATATATATATATATAATAATACATACAATATATATATAATATATATTATATATATATATATATATATATATATATATATATATATTATATATATAGCAGTTAGTGGCCATTGAAAAATTAAAATTGACGTGTTTTAAATTTTTTTTTAAGTCGTCTCTGTGAAATAATAAATTTATTCCATACATTTTTATCATTCTGTATAAGGGCCACTTATAGCCCATCTAGGGCTACAACAATTATTCACTTCTGTCGGCACCACCCAAGTGCCACGCGTTTTTTTTTTGTGTAATATTTCTCTACATCACAGGGTTCGTTGTATAACTGAAGTCAAAGATGACTTTTACAAATTACATTACATTATGCCTATCATTTAAATTTCCCAGTAAAAGAATGATATTTTATGAAACTAGTTATTAGTTAAGGCCTCCCTTAAACTTTTCCATTCCGGGAAGAGAGGCCTATATTCAGCAGTGCACGTGATAAATGAAGGCTGGATTATGATGAGTTATTAGTTTAAATTTTGTATTTTAGGGTCTTGCTCTATCAATTTGGACACTAGTCATGGAACAAATGTCGGGAATATACATCGAATTGTCATTCTTGGATGCCACTCTTAATTTTGGTCAAAGTATCATAGTATTTGCGATATTCGGCTTGAACACCAAAGAAATAATGTTACCACTGTTGAAGTATTGGAGGAAGATATGGTACGGCGCCAATACGTTAAATCTGCCAGCTTGGCATGAACTTAGTTCAGAAACGAAACATATCTGTGATCAGTTTGTGACCCACCATCTTCAGAACTGTCGATCGGCCATCGCTACAGATAAACGGTAAGAAATTATTTTTGTGTGTTATATAATCAACTGACTGTTTACAGATTTTTAAGGTTAAAAAATGTTTCCACTCCTACGTCTTCATCTGACATAAGCTCTTCGTATAAACTTACATAAGTCTTTTCTGTTCTTTTTCGTAGGAATCCATCGAAAAAAATCGTGTAATCTAATATTTGATAGTACAGTCATACAATAACCGTACGCAAGGAGCACCGAACAGAATGACTCAGATTATCATGTCAAATACTTCCGTGGCTTCATACAAGAATGAACAAGTTTGAGGTATCACGTAAATGCCACGCTGCTCGAGACAAACAAATTTATAGTTCTCGGACAGCGAGGCATCAATGTGATGCCTCAAAAATGTTGTGCAATTTCTCGATTTTCAAATATTTTTTTTTTTGAAAATGAATCAGAACTAGTGAAACAGAATTAACACCAATGACAAGAAATGACCAATGGGCAAGAAAAAAAATTATAACACCGGGGCTGAACGTATTAAGCTTTCGAGTTTATTTAACTCTTTCTCAAAACATACTAAAAATGAAAACTACATTAGACAATGAAGTTGTTGTATCTTCAAACAGGCTTACCCTTGTGTGAAGATTGTACTATAAAATTAGCAGAATTACTTAACATTAGACGATATTTTAATAATTTGCTTTTCTTTTGTCTTTCATTCAAAACTTATTACTTTGCAAACCTTCATCGCACATTTTGACATCTCATGTAAAAATGTTTCGTTTGCTCTTATTAAACAAGCAACATAGTGTATTTTACTAGGTAATTAAGAAAGAAAAAACCAAACACAAATAAAAAAAAATTTCATCTTATTTGAACTCGGAATAATCCGTCTGTCTGTACTTTTTATAAGAAGTTTTATATAGTTGTTGCTTTTTTCATTAAAAGAAGATAACTGTATTTAGCACTAAGATTTTCAATGTCTTCTCTTTTGTTTGAGGTGTTTTATGTAGTTTAAAAGGATTCCCCAAACCGACGCGAAACTTTCGCAGCGGAATCGCGGCGAATCGTAAGGCACGGCGACTTATGTTGCCGAGAGGGGGCATTTGGGCCTGTAGGACCCATCGCCGGCTCTTCGGGCTTTTTCCTGTCTCCGGAATTGGAACGGGTGTTTACCATCTTGGGTTGTCGCTGGTAAAATGTGTCGATACTGTTACCGTTACAAAATAACCGTTACAGCGGCAGTACCTGTTACAAGTAACGGTTCCAAGGAACAGTTACAAAATAACAGACCAAAAATGGAAAACAAGACAGGTAAAATAATTTAAGTATTCCTTGACTTACGGAAGGAATAGCTCAGAAACAATAAAATACAATGGTATGATAAATGTAATATAAAGAATATGTTTCTAAGTGTTTCTTGACTTACGGAAGAAACAACTTAGAATGAAAAGTAAAATGTACAAGTTCAAAGAATAGAAAATGCAGAAGTATGAGTAAAATACATAAAGTAAAAGAAAACAGAAATGTTCTTAAGTGTTTCTTGACTTACGGAAGAAACAACTTAAGAGAGGAATATAAACAAATGAAAATAAGTAAATATAAAACAATATGTGAAAAATATGTCTAAGTGTTTCTTGACTTACGGAAGAAACAACTTAGAGCAGAAAACAACAAGAGAATCAAATATGCAATAGAAGAATATAAATATTTACAAGTGTTTCTTGACTTACGGAAGAAACGTCTTGTAATATAGAAGAATAAAAAAATGCAAAGAAATAAGAATACAAATATTTACAAGTGTTTCTTGACTTACGGAAGAAACAACTTGTAATAGAAAAATAAGAAAATAAAATGCAGAAAAGATATAGAAATATAGCTAAGTGTTTCTTGACTTACGGAAGAAACGACTTAGCGCGAAAATAAAAGTAACAGAGACAAGTATATGAAATATCAGAAATAAGAATGCAAATATGGAAATACTTCTAAGTGTTCTTTTGACTTACCGGAAAAGAACAACTTAGACACACAAATGAAACAAATAAAATATCAGAAAATATTTCTAAGAGTTCTTTAACTTACCGGAAAGAACCACTTAGACACAAATACAAGAAATATAAACAATCAAATAATCAAATAAAATAGTAAATAAATCAGTACATGAACAATAGTAATATTCTAACCTGAAAAGGTCTGAATATACAACAAATGCTAAAATAAAAAGGTATACAGGAAATCAGAAATAAAACAATAGCTCGAGTTGATACAATAAAGCACCGACTAGGTCTAGAGTAGAAGAGGCAAGCTCGACTGACCGATGAGAGAAAATCCACCTGCTTTTATGTGAAACAAATCCTTTGTTTCACAAAGCAAAAGTGGAATTTCCTCCGCATCGAGCCAATCAGAAATTCGGATTTGGCCAAACTTGGAATTTCCAAATATTTGGACCAATCTCCGAATTTTCTGATGCGTTCGGCACGGCTGTCAGCTCCCGACTGACACGCCTCCGAAGACACTTATGTCATCAGGTGCCACCAATCACGCACCTCGATGTTCATCGCCCTTCCTTCTGGAGTTTTATTCAAATTTTAATTGGTTAAAAATCGAAAAGGTTTCATATAAAAGTTAATTTTACTTTAAATATGGGACAATTTCGGATTTACAGTCAGTCTGGTTTTACCCTTAGAGGGTAGCCCCAGGGCTCTTCACTTTGAAGGGCTCTGAAAAGTTCTAAAGACTCTGACGCTGAGTTTTTTTCTACTTAGAAATTGTGTCTTTATTTCTAAAGTACCTACAACACCTGCAGCATTGTCTTTTTCAAGACAATGACCAAATCAGAGCGTACCGGCTAACTACGCAATATTTCACAATATTGCGCAATAGTTAGAGATATTAGTAAACATGGTTATGGCACCAAGTTGCATTTCAATTTCCTACGTTTACTAATAATCGCCCGGAGACGACACTTAATGCATGTGTTCAGACAAGTTCGGACGGAAACCGGAACGGTCGCGGCAGAACAGCGTTGACGTTTCATGAAACGCTGCATGCACGGTTTTTTCCGCTGCAGTTATAGCAAGTTATAGTTTCGCGTGAATTATTAAAATGGCTGTTACAGAAAAAACTAATTGAAATTGTGAAACAATATCCTATAATTTATGATTTAAGTAACGAAGATTATAAAAATATAAGAAAAAAGGATAAAGTCTGGGATAATATAGGGTCATTTCTAGGAGAAAATGGTAAGTTTTCATTATATATTATATATAATGAATTTAATAGTGCTCCGCCTGCGAATGTTCCGCAACGGTTTCGCGTCGCAAAAGTTTCGCGTCGGTGTGGGGAATCCTTAAATTAAACACATTTCTAGAAATAGTCTTTTGTTGTAATTTCTTTCTCTTGTCAACATTTGACGAATCTGAATTAAATTTATAGTTTATTACCATAAATATAAAATTTAAGAAATGTTACTTTGTTTCAGCTGGAGAATCAAGATCTATAAAAATGTGTTTTCTGGCGAAACCTTCGTGGGATGGTTGATAGAAGTGGGTCTCGCGAGAGACCGAGTAGAAGCTGTGAATTACGCCAGGCATCTCGTGGAAGGAAAAGTGCTAAGGCATATTAATGGAGTATATCACTTTTATGATAGAAATTTACTATACACATTTGTCTAAGGTTGTGAATCTATAGTAGGTTTTTTATGTCTACTATATTATAGAATTATTTTGCCTACTATACAATTTATAGTAGAATGTTGCAGAAGGTTTTTTTTTAATTAAGATAAACTGTAAAAAATCTCGTATATTTTTAGTTAATAATTATAACAATAGCATATTAGGTTTGTTCCAACACGCAATTTTTGTACGGCTCAGAAATCGTCACGAAACTGCTTGTACCGTTTTTTATGCATATGTTGCATGTTACATATGTTTGTGCATACAGTGTGTCCGTAAAGTATGGAACAAATTCGATATTTCCTAAATGAAAAGCCATTTTAAAAAAATCTAAAACACGTCGATTTTTAAGTTTAATGTTATACATTCTATAACAAAATTTCGTTATAAAAGGTGATGACGTCATCGGCTCTTTTTTTAAATGTAACACCCTGTATTTTAAGACATTTTTAGATTGATAATAGTGAGCTGATTCAAAAAAAGTATAATATTCGGTGTCTAATAGAAATAATTTGAAAGATATGCGCTTAGAAAATAAATTATTTAATCAATTGCAAAAAATAAATTGCAAAACCACTAGTTTTTAGTGAAACGTAATTATTTTTAGTAACGTTCAATAGCAATTAAGTAGTACAATGATTGTATTAATTTGTGCATGTTCTGTATTATTGATTAGAATTAATTTAAAGTAGAAATGAATTTGAGTGTAAAGCAAAGAATTGAAATACTCATGATGATTGGGTATGGAGACAAATTGCGAACTCAGATGGAAGTGTGTAATTTATTTAATGGTAAATATCCAGCGTGTTCCTTAACCAAGAAACCCGTTTCCTTCCTACTGTAATAAATAACGCTTTACTTATGGTATCGTATGGTACATTTATTGGAAACACTACTGTACACTCTTACAATGTTACTTATCTTAAATGTTATAGTACTTAGTTTTTTTTTAATACAATAAAAAAATAAAATAAAATTTGTGTTACCCAAAGAGCTATGGAACGATCGATGTTAGGCATTTCTCGTAGGGATCGGATCACGAACAAGGAAATAAGACGGAGAACAGGAGTGACAGATGCCATAGAAAGAATTATGACCCTTAAGTGGAACTGGGCGGGGCACATAGCTAGAATGTCGGATAACAGATGGACACAGCGAATAATACAGTGGAGACCGAGACAAGAAGCACATCGAAGTAGAGGTCGTCCACCAACAAGATGGTCTGATGACATAAAACGGATCGACAAAAATTGGATGCAAACAGCACAAAACAGAAATACAGGAAAAGACGAGGAGACCTATATCCAGCAGTGGATAGATCCGGGTTAAATGATGATGATGATAGTACTTAGTTGACGTTGTTGACAATACACGATACATTAGCTTGTCATCTTGACGTTAAATTAGTTCTGATTTCTGAGATAATGATTGTTGTCGCTTTTATAGCAGTCCTTGCTATATCAGCAGTTTATTTCTTAGTGTATCAAGTTTGTCTCACTGACCTAGGACAAACATACGTCGTGATTAGCAATACTGCTGACTGTTTTATGAATGTCCTTGATTCGAATTATTAAACATATTTTATATAAACAAATGCAAAACTATGTTACACGTTTATTTTTAACTTATTCTTTATATGAATTATAATATTTCAGGAATAATACTACACTACACCTCTACGGCCCTCTGTTTTGCCTTAAAGGATCAGTTGTAATATTTTATATCGCCTTCCCCTTACTATATATATATATATAAATATATATAGATATATATAAACAGTCTTTAGCAGTTCTCTATCTTTGTTGACGCTCCTTAGTACTTCTTCATTAGTTTTCCTTGCTGTCCAAGGTATCTTCAGCATTCGTCTATGAACCCACATTTCAACGCTTCAATTTTTGTTCATGATCGATACTTTTAGTGTCCACACTTCTGCATTATACAAAAGCACAGACCAAACATAGCACTTTACCATTATTTGCCTTAGTTCTAAACTGAGATGGTTATTGGAAAGAAATGACTTTATTTTCATAAAAGTAGTTTTAGTCATTGCTATTCTACGTTTTATTTCTATGTCTGGAATCTAGTTGGTCCGTTATCACAGTTCCCAAATATGTAATTGTGTGAACTTTCTCAACTTGGGAGACCGTTTAATTGAAGCTTTGCATCGGAATGTGGGTCACGACTACATCTTCGACCTGAACACTAAAAATTTGTTTTTTTTTTTTTTAGTTTATTTTATAATACCCATTTTCATACTCATCAGTCCCGTCACAGTCTCGGCGCCGAACCCGTCCTGTTTGGTCACAGAACTATCAACTATCTGACAGCTGGCAAACTGTTCGTCAACTGATGAATGTGAATCCCGGCGCCATATTTTATTAAAGAATATTTTGTATGACGGATTGTTCGGTTCGGCGCCAGGACTGTGACGAGACGTGACTGATGTGTGTGAATCGACCTTTATACTTTTTTGAAATCAGATCATTTTTATGGATCTAAAAATGTCCTAAAATACAGGGTGTTACATTTAAAAAAAAGCCGATGACGTCATCATATTAATGTGTATCACCTTGTATAATAAAATTGTTGTAAAATGTAGAATATATATATATATATATATATATATATAATATATATATAGGTTCTTGAACTCCTAAGTAGAGCATAGAGCTTCAGTGAAAACGCGCCATCGGGTTCTATTTTGCGCTAAGGCCTTCACCTCATTCCAAGACTTTCCTTGGCCTCTGATCTCGTCCATGATGGATCTTCTCCAAGTTTGTACTGAGCGACCTCTTATCCCTTTCCCTTAAGGATTCCACTCTAGGGCAGTCTTTGCGATATTGGAACTATTTTTTTCGGAGTGTTTGACCGATCCAACCCCACTTTCTGGACTTAATTTCATTTTGTACCCACTTTTGTTCGGTCAGGTGTAGCAGATCTTCGTTTCTGATGGTGTTAGGCCAGAATATACGGACAATTCTTCGTAGACATTTGTTAATAAAGACCTGCGGTTTGTCTGTGAGGGTGTTTGTCACTTTCCAGGTTTGACATCCGTAGAGTAGAACATTTGATCGGAATATTCGGATCTTTGACCTTGTATACAGTGGTGAGTGCTTTACCACCCGGCTTTTTAACGTAAGAGATAGAAAACACAGTTACCTTGTGAAATAAAAAGAGATGAAACTCGCAGAGGTGGGAAATAATCGATAGAAACCTATAATTTACATTACATTGCATTAACACTATCGATAGTCTCACACCTTTTGACGTTAGCTTCTAGCTAAATCACCTCGGTCATAATTATTATGTGTGACATTATATTCAGTGACATTTTTTAATTTCGCATAAAGTAAAAAATGATTGACCACAATAAAGCAAAAATGTGAATAAAATAAATTAATTAATAGTGATTATTTAATCTAAAGTTTTAAATTATTAACCAAGAATAATTTCTACTATGATTTGAGGAGTTTCATACACTCTTGTCACGGAAATAAACATCAGTCCTTCGTGGATTAGTGGTAAGAATTCGACACTGCGACGCAGACGATTAGAGTTCAAAACCCACATGTGGTTTTTTTTTTTTTAATAATTTGAAATTATGCAGAGATCGTTTTTGATTTGAATCACTAAACATTTATGTCAGTCGTTACTAGTATTAGAAGTGTTTAAAGTTAAACATAAATATCTTTTTGAATTTGAATTATTTTGTATTTCCGTTTTATAACATTGGAATAAGAATAAATTGTAAATAATGAGTTTTTCGAAAACTTGTTACCTAATATGTATCATATTTTCTATTATTTTTTGATTGAGTAAAACAAAAATTTTATCCTTGGTGTGAATTGAACCCCAATCTTCTAGTTAATAGACCACGTGTCTAAGTATTACACCAACTCCACATACAAAAACTGTTTTCGGACCGAACATACCTACCTTTAGTTTAGTCAAATATTTCAGTTGAGTTATTTTTATATTAAATAAATTTATAAGATTTAAACTATAAATAGATTTATAATTTAAAATCGCTACTAATTAATGTTTTTTACTTTAATTCTTAATTTATTCAATCATTTATTCTTACATCAGAAATTATTAAAATAAAATATTTTCGCGGTCATCCGTATAATTATGACTGAAGTCAAATAGCCACGTCTAAGAACTAGCTTTATCTCATTCTTTCTCACAAAATCCATCTTCTATCCTTTCCGCTATTTTGCCTGGTTTTAAAGCGACTTTAAACACTTCTAATACTATAATAACGTCTAAAGGTGTGAGACTATCGACGGTGGTAATGTAATGTAATGTAAATTATAGTTTCTATCGATTATTTCCCTCCTTTACGAGTTTCATCTCTTTTTATTTCACAAGGTAACTGTGTTTTCTATCTCTTACGTTAAAAAGCCGGGTGGTAAAGCACTCATCACTGTATAGTAAAATGTAGAATATTATACTTAAAAATCGGCGTGTTTTAGATTTTTCATTTAGGAAATATCGAATTTATTCAATACTTTACAGACACACTGTATAACAAAATTGATATACCAAGCAGTTTATTTAAAAATATATATATTGTCATGGCGACAAATTACAATATATCAGCTTTTTCCAGTGGGGATGAATAGAATTTTGTTTATGGTTTTCAAATAATCCAACAGGGATAGCTCCTTAAAGCGATTTTTATGTATTTACTTCATTCGAGTAATAAATGTCATTCATAGAAGTTGCTAAAGTACACATCCAAAAAATTTAAATTTCACAGCCTACACTAACTAGGATTTTTCCCATGTCTACATAAATCGGAGATCTTCCTCTGAACAGGCACAAATGTTTAAACAGAAAAGGCATTCATGTCTTCTAGATCTGCAATAAAAATTTATAAAGAAAATGAGATGATTCGTTTGTTTTTCACTAAAACGTATCGGTATCTAGTTGTCGAACTGGATTATATTAATGATAACAATTAGCTTCTATGTATGGTCTACAAAAAATAACCTTCT